AACAATACTGGTTGGGTGAAATAAGCTGCGCACACGGACTGGACATTATCCTAATTAGTCTTACATGCCTTTCATGAGATTCATCTTTGAACGCAGGGGAACTTCGGTTATTGTGTGTAACATTTAGCAAGGCGTGAGGTCTCTAAAGATGTTCTCTTAGCAAGCTCCACATTGGTAAACTCATCTGTTAGTGCCAAACAAGACATGGGCAGAAAGACAGAAGCGGAAATCTGACCCGACTGCGCCATGTAAAAATGAGACGATAACGGGCCAAGAATTTTGTAGGCTACCTTGGCAACGTCCGACATGTTATCATTGACAATAAAATCGTAGTATGACAACAAAAATTGTGGACTAGCGGACCTAGGATTAGACAACTGCTTCAAACCCTTCAGATGAGCCAGACTCTGTTGTCCAGACTCCAGATCAACCAACTGTGATAACACCAGTACCAAAAAACGTCAGGAGACAGGTACTAAGGGTACCTGTCTAACACATCGATCTGAGTTCCTAATGCTGACAGAACGGCGTTATCGACATGAAACAACACTTGGGACATCATAGCAGGGATTTAAAGTCGGCTCTCAAACGACATACTAGATCCAGAAATTGGACTCAACAAAGTATTCATCATACAGAATGGTCAACCATTTCGCAGTGGCGGTGTCGCTATCGACTACCGAGATTATCTCAAATATGAGGTCCTCCGTAGTTACAAGGACAACAGATACTTGTCCATCTTTCTTAAATCAAATGTCATCAGTTTATCCAGCGTCACTATTACCACGGCACCTATCTCAAGCTAACTGCAGGCTCTCCGAGAAAACGGTATCCTTGGTATTGACGAGATTTGTTCAAATATTTTAAGAACCTTTTCCACCACATTATCGGTATCACTTGTGGCCTTTTCCCAGTGTCTACTTGAATCCCATACACTCCCATCTGAGTGGGAAAATGGAATCACCACGTTGATGTAGGTGATCGCATCCTGTAAACTATCGACCTATTACTCTGCTCCCTGTTTATCAAGCTATGGAGCCGACAATCGCAGATAAACTAACGCGGTATTTCGAAAGTCTTAAATTATTTACAAGGTTTCAAACACAAAGGATCTTCAGGTTTAGGTTTGTTCTCTGAGCCGAAGTATTTCGTTTCAGACGTTTCATCACCAATCGAGGTGACTTCGTCAGTGCGTACTAAGCAAAAATTGTCCATCCAAAATGTCACAAAATCAGCTGCATACGAACCTTGTTTCGCAGAATAGAATCACATTGTACTACTGAGGAAGCAAAACGAGTAGAAGAAAACCATCTGTTGACATCCGTCATGAGCAATGGATATCCACGCAATTTCATCCAAAGTTACCTAACCTGCAAGACTACAAATGCCACACCTGAATCAACAACAACGAAACGGATCGCTTTGCCCTACATCAGGAAGGTATCGGAAATGACTGCTCGACTCCTCAAGCCTCACCACCTGTTGTTAGCTCACATACCAACCGCTACTCTGAAAGCAACCCTACCTAGACCGAAAGGGAAGACAGGAGCACATGAACGTCGGAATGTTGTCTACAGGATACAGTGTAAAAACTGTGATAAACGCTACGTGGGCCAAACAGGGAGAAAGTTATCTACAAGGTTAAAAGAACACAAGCGAGCCTGTCGAAACCATTATTCATCATTATTAATCACGACACATGTTGACGAAGAGCACATGATTGACGGAGGTCCTAGCGCAAGGAGAGACAAGAAGAGAAAGAGAATTTCTAGAAGCATGGTTCTCTACGAAGAACTCGATAAACCTGCGCATTGACTTAGACCCGATCTACCATCAATTGCAGAAAAAGAAAAGGCGAGTCATTCATCACATGAGCCTAAAAGAGGCGGCGATCGACCTGAAAACTAGCAATGATCACGGGACGTGAATCGAAGTGACCAAGTTCAAACATCACTCTCTCATCGGTCAACTTTTGCTTAGTACGCACTGACGAAGTCACCTCGATTAGTGATGAAACGTCTGCAACGAAATAGTTCGGAGAACAAACCTAAATCTGAACAGACAATCTGAGCTGTAGGTATTCCGCTTTATTGCCAACAGAGGATCTTGTCTCATTAATCTGTTTTCTACTCGTGATTAATGGACCAGAGCGACGGACGTAGGAATGCGCCTTAGTTAAACTTTTCTTAAGTATTTGGTAGAGTCAATCACTCAGTCATTCTCCATAAGCTCAGTGGCTGGTGAATACTCCGCTCTCTGCTCACCTGGTTGAAACATGGGAATTTCTGAGACACGCTCCAATAGTTTGTACGTCTCCAGTAGTGTACCCCAAGGATGTGTCCTCGGCGGTTGGCCGAATAAGTTGGGTGCTTGCGCTGTAACCTAGCTTTCCGGTTTCCATTCCCGTAGTCGCTGGCGACTTCGCGGTACACCCAACCCTTTGCGCGACTGGTGGCGCTGTTGTGGCAGCGCAGCGTCCGTACAATGTGCCGGCGTACTGCCGATGCTTTTTTCTCTTTCTCTGTCCTCGACCCGTTACCGTTTTTTACCTATATCAATGATCTCTCATCAAATGATTGCGGATGATGTCAAAATCTGGAAAGCTATTCTATAAAATCTGATCTGGACTGGATTCATGAATGGGAAGTATTGAACCAGCTGCTCCTGAGCCATGTAAACAACAACCTGTGAATGCTGCGGAACAAATTCACTTAGGTGTATGTATTGGGGCAGAACGGTCTACAGCACGCAACCAGTGAAAGGGACCGAGGTATCGTCGTTGAATAAAATCTAGTAAATTCGCTCCTACGCTCGCAAGCGGTAAATATGGCAAACATGAATTTGCGGCTTCTACGGCGACCTCTTGATACTGATGAGTGACAAATCAACTCGTATATTCGTCTCCACGTTGAGTAGGCGGTTTAAACCTTGTGTCCATAGTTAACACGAGACGCTCGTCTTTTAGATCAGCCACAAAGAAGAGTCACCAGGGCAACACGTGGACTAGCCAGTCTAAATTAGGAAGTGCAGCTTTATTCAATCGACGACTTCTCGGGAATCTCATTCTTCCATACCCAAAACCGGCGGAGAGTGGTCATTCATGTAAATCACTGCCAACTCTAGCTGTTTACAACCGATACCTTGGTCATGATCTGAAACAATCAACACAACATTCCCGCTTGGATTGTTATTTTACCCTCTCAGAGTCAGTCCACACTGTAATGCATTACTAGCACATGTGGAGAATGCACCAAACATCGTGATTCTTATAAGACCATTAGACATTCATCCAAGTGATAAGTGCCGCAAGACAGTATGACAAAGTGCCATATCTGGATCGATGGTAGCTCACGCTTTATGTCGTAATATTTTGATGGGTTTTTGAGCGTTTTTCATCTTATGAGTCTCGTAAATCTGATGATTTATATCTCAGTACACAACAACAGTATATACAGTATACAACAACAATAACAATACTCCAATGATTCCAGTTGCACTGGCCCTGTCCATGGTACGGTTCCTTTTCATCCACCGACATCCTAGAGTAATTCTAAAGCTCCTAGACTGTGTGTCCAACTGTGCGGAATTGGGTACCATAGGTATCCACGTTGCTTGCTTCAGTCAAACTATGCATCAGAGAAAAACATGGTGAAGGTCATCTCTTCTCGAAATACGATTACAGCATTCTAAACGCTTTCGATTTACGCTGGTGATGGAATTTGGATATGTTCCTCTTGCTCAATCGTATGACTCAGGCAAACATAAGGGCCAATATCAGAAAACACAAGTGACAGAGTTCAGAAAGCCACTGACAGCATGGTAAATTAGTTCGGATAGGAAGTTGGTCCCTTACTCTTTCACTGTATGGAATGTCAATGAATCTCTGAGCGCAACAAGCAGAATCCGCGGCAAGTGTTGTCATGCAGAGGATGCTGCACGACCTGACAATAAGTTGTATGTGGAATGACCAATGGTGTACAACAAAGACCCAACGCATAAACAGTGTTTAGCTCCAGAATTATGTATGATACCTGCTCGGATGATGCTAATTGGTCCAATTTAGAACGAAATTCCAAATTGAGCAATAACTCTCTGCACTCCTCCTGAGCGACTTTCATCTCAGCTTCCGCCCGTTCGGCTCGACTGCGCCAGATGGCCTCGTTGTTCGCTAAACTTTGATTCACTGCCTGCTCCTCCGCTAGCTCCTTTTGCAAGCGCTGAGCAAGACCAGAGACCTGAAAAAGATGGGAGTAAATATGCCAGATATAAAAGTCATTATTCCTGGAGATTAAAAGTTGAAATTTCTATGTATTTAATGCTCAAAAGCAACCGAATTTCGTCGACAATTGACGACGAAGGATTTCTATAGAATCCCCAACATCATCGAAAACGGCGCGGTGACTGGATTCAAATTCGGTTTGACTTCAACAGTTCTCTTAAAGCCTAGCTACAGAGAGTTAGACATGAAAAGGTTCGTATAGCATCGGAACGTCTACCTTGACACTAATATAATAGGTCTTGCAAGTACGAAGATAAATCTTATGGCAGATTTAGTTGTCATGACTCGCGCATGCCCGGGATAACGAAAAATTACCAGTGCTCCGAAACTGACGTTAACCGTTAGACGTGGTACAAAGGAACGGAAGTAATGAGAAATGTAATTAAAATTGGTCGCGTTGAAAAGTCAACACTTGGATGGAAAAAACTTAAGACAGCACTGTAAAGAGCCCCGCAGCTGTGCCATGCTAGATAAGGTCTCCATCCACTATCGTAGGGTATGTCGAGGCACAAGTCCACGACGATAGCAAGCAATGTCCAGACCAAATTCCGGATGCTTGTAAGCCGCACCATCTAGTGCACAATTTGCAGTATCATTCAACAGGATGCAGTTACAGCATGCGATGCACGCTGAGGAGAGTGGTTAACGAGAATCCGAGGGGTCCAGACTTCGCCAAAATATACGGTTCAAAGCCTGGTTCTCAACCACGAACTCAATCAACATGCATATCGACCTCGATCCAATATACCAACCGCTGAGACAGAGAGAGCTCAAGAGGATCAACAACCTTTGTCCGAAGAAACCTAATCCAACACATGGACAATGCACAGCATGGTCAATATGAGCCCAGACTACTCACTCACACCTGTTGCACCAATCCGAGTGCGATAATCCCAACCACGTCGCAACAACATTTCCACAGCCAATGACAGGAGCACAACTGCTGAACACAAGGATTCACCAATGAGAACGAGGCAAAATTAATAGCCCCGTATGCCTATATAAGGAACAGAGTGGTCGCTGACAGTATCCATTATTGGGTTTGCTTTCTACCAGCTACTGCTACTTACCTGCTATCAATCCCGCACTGAAGATGCCACCTCGAATGGTGGCGAAACGTCTGCAACCAAGTTGCCCAGCTCGGAGAACTCCACAACAAATGAGCAAGCCTCCCGAGATACCAATATTCCAAATCATTTTGGTTCAAATATAGTGTAGAATCCGGCGTTGCACAGGAGAATTGCTATGTAAACACTATAAATCCCGGTGTTCCGACAAGATATGAGAAACATTCCGTAAACGCGAGTGACAAAAGATTGTTGGTTTGCCGTAATGAAGTGAAGACTGTATATTAAAGTGGTGAACAAAAAGCCTCGGGGTCGGGAGATTCATTAAGGACATGCGAATGAAAGCCATGCGTGCACGTACAACCGTTTAGCCGGAATCCAGGCATGCGCTCCCGATCTGCCGGCAATATTCATGTGTCGCTGACGACAATTACATTAATTTAGACTCAGGTCATCCCAGATGAACGCCGGTTAAGGCCACATGAATGTCCATTGCGCAACACAGTGCTGCTGATAAAATGGTCACGGCTAGCAAACGGGTAAAGAAATTCTTCACTATCATCCGTCGATCGGTATCAATTCCGAAACGATCATCCTAGAGTTGTTCGACTTTCGACAAGGCATAAGCAGTAGGCCGGTACGCAGTACGGACGTTTTGCTGCCGCGCAGCCAGGGATACTGTGAGGGTCGTCCAGTCCTTACGAAGGCTGGAACCCGCGCCTTCAGATTACAAGACAGGCTTGAGATCCTTAAGGCTACGGGCCAGCCCGCGTAAGCAGTCATGACACGAGCAACGAACATGATATCTCTATCCTTCGACATGCGCATACTGGAAGCGCAGACGGTGGAATTCCCCTTTCCTGGCTCCCGGATCGCAGCTACATTGGAAATACCCATGAAGTTTGATGTGAAATCTAACAAGGGCGACTGTTTATCGGCAAACAACCGAGTAAAGTACTTGTAATATATCTGCCGAAGTAATACGGCATTACCCTAGTATTTCATCGCTTGGATAACCTGTGGATATTCTGCGCACCCTCGTCGCATATGGTCTTACTAAGACCAGGTTTCCTGCTACCCGTTTCCCGTACCATACGGAGTAACGTACAATGGTTACCAATTCAGTTGCTCATTCGTTCGCCCAGCTCGGCGAACGAATGAGCAACTGAATTATCAACTCGAGCTACCAGTTTTTGGAAACATTTTAAATGGTTACCAAGGGTAGCGGGCCATTTCCATCTCCGACGCGCGATGAGACCATCATGATTTGCGGTCTCTCTTCAGGCTAGCACGGAGTTTTACCCTACTTTTGTAAGTCTCGTTGTGCTTACTTCCAACCGGAATGTGGCGGCTAGCGTCGATAAATTCCAGACACTGCGTAGAGCCCCAATGTCCAGATACGCTAGTAGATTTATCACATGAAGGCATAATTGCGGCTAACAAGTTCTGGTGAACATGCGGTCAGTGACCTAGAACTGTGTTCAGCGAGCACTTACACAACCGGCATGCCAGTGCGATTCGACAAGCATTCAGAACACCTGGCATCGCCAGTTGGCGAGTGTCTATGAGCTTATAGAAACGTCGCGACTGTCCGCTAAAACGCGCTCGCGGATCAGCACATAGAAGTGTATAATCGGAGTAGAGGATCGTGCTCCAAAGCGAGCGGGAAATAGATGACTATCTTCACACAGGTGTAGTAATCACTCACCTTTATCAGCATGTGGGTCTATACCGTGTTAGCCGCCCAGGTAAAGCTCATTAATGGACAGTTTTTCAACTTGGGCGTTTAAATCACCAGCAAGGACTACAGTATCCGTACTTATGCTGTGAAGATGGAGCGCGTTCAGTTAGTGATATAAGTCATCTATCGCTGGGTCTGCACTACAATAAATAGGGATCAATTGACTCCGCTCGAATTCCACGCACTGAACGAGCCAGCCAAAAGGACAGCGCACACCCGTCTACTGATTGGGGTGCAGTGCCAACACATGGAGCTCAGAGCAACACCCACACCGGTTTGATAGGTATCCGAAGCTGCATTATCTGCGGATCGATGTAGATGAACCACCAGTGTGGAAACATTATAGTGTTGCTCATCCCAACACTGGCACCTCAAGACCGCGTTTTCGTCCTGGCTGGGACTCATCAGTTGGAGATAGCCTGAGTTGGGCTGGAACTCAGAGCCTAGCGGTTCATGGTTGACGCCATAAGCACTATGCCACTGAGATCCACGAGCAACGCCACCACCACCAGTGTCATATGATAGGGAACGTAAATGAACACAGAGCTAGAGTCTTGCAGACGGGTTTCCGATAAACAGCAGATATCGATCGAGAGGGTCTGAAATGTTCAGGCAGATGCATCTAGTGGCCGACTTGCGACAAAAAGTGCAGGTTGAGACGTGTTAGTTTTAGGAAGGATCGAGGGCTTAAAATAGTGATGGATGAACTGAGGTTGTCTGCATGGTTTAATATTGATTTATCGATAGGATAGGAGTGATGCTTCGCAACAGTGTGGGATTCGAAACTATAAGGCAAATGCATATCAAAGCATAGTGGGGTGAGGCCAAAAATCGGGGGGGGGGTTGAGAACAGGGTAATAAAAGTAAAGGTGAGACAAGACGACGAGGATGAAAAAGCACAAGAGTGGGAATAGGAAGGCGGGAAGGCCTGAGCATCGTCACCCTTATCAACCCTGCTCAATGCAGCAGATAGGGCGTGGTTATTTATCCTCTGTGACAGCCAGAGCACCAAGAGATCACGTGCAGAGTTCATCAGTGTATTGGATGATGCTGGTTATCATGTTAAAGAGTGTAAAGAAAGCGTCTTGATGACAAGACCAGGAGTGTAGACGATAGACGCCGTTTGTCCATTGCGAAGGAAGGTCATCATTCGAAGGCACCAAGACAACAGTCTAACCAACAAACCATTATGGGTCAGATCCAGCTCGGGAGTGTGGACGTACAATCCTGTTGAAACGACTAAGAAGGATTCACACATATTTTCTAATGGACCATATGTCACGTGAAAATACGAATAATGACAAGTGCGTTTTAATGGGCTTACACCTTTTTAACCAAAGGTTGTCTGGCCTGAGTCACGACGTGACAATGCAACGACCCAGGACGCTCATCTGCTAGGGATGCTGATTTTTAAATTCCAAACACCGACCCAAACAATGGGAGCGACTATGACGGTGTCTACGGAATGTCAACCTGAATGGTGCAATAGGCCACTGTGATGTGCAAAACATTGCACTACGCCAAAGCCCTGTCTTCCCACAACAGATATCTAGCTCGAAAAAGCGGTGTTACACTTTGCTCACTTGTTGCAGCTTTCTTGAGAGGGAATCCTTTTCTTTCTTCACATCTGACAGCTGTTTTTGTAAAGCTTTGACTTTGGTTACTGCTTCTTCCATACCGGCTTCAGCTGCCTGGATGCGATTGGCAGATTCCATTGAGACCTGTTCCAACTGTGCTTCGAAGTACGCTCTCTGTGAATCCAATTGACTAGTGAGCACAGCACTGAACTCCATGCTGATCATATCCAATTTCTTATCTCCAGTCTCGCTCCCCGGACCGAGCTGTGGAGAAGACAAATAAAGCATCGGCATTTAGACAGCTACCTTGTATTTTCCAAAGTGAGCTTGTCATTAGAAAGCTGTGAATGCATGAAAATAATCACTAAACATATCGCTGGAAATTATGCCTTAGAGCTGTCTAAAACCACAAAATTGGCGGTCCAGATATAGTATTCGCATTGATATCAGTCGTAGGATCATAAAGGGAAACAAACCACATTTGGTTTGTGAACAATCGGTTGATTTAATTATTTAGCGACGGTTCGCTTCGGACGTAAAAGCATCGTCAGACTAGGTGAAGTAGTACGTTGTTGGTGGAACAGTGTATAGCGAGTGAGGATAATCGTGACAACTGAGACATGAGGCAAGCGACTCCTCTAGACACAGGTGGAAATGACATCTTAAGTGGTCCAGTCAGAGTGGGACCATCTCAAGTGTTTCGTCGGCCGTCTTGTTGTCCATAAAGGTCTTGGTGACGATGCTGATGATATCGGTCTTTTCTATCCAACCTCAGCCGCGTAGCAACATCACAGTAAAATTGTTCGCACGAAATATATAATCCCACCCCGTCTGTTCTATTAAAACAGTTACTGGCCTTGGCTACTTCGATCGCCTTGTCAATTAACCGCCGGGGTTTTGCTCGTCAACCTCACCCAATCCTCAAAATTTGTCTGATGTTTGGTGTCCAATGTATACAGATCGTTGAATCATCGGACGGAGCTCTGCATTCAGACCCATTCCTAGGTGACCGAAAAGTGCGTGTTCGTAACTCTCTCGCAGTATGAGCTATGTATACCTGCGTACAGTCTTTGGAGCTGGATTTTCAAGCATGGTTAGTTGTTCTAGCTGCGGAAAGTGGGTCCTTCACAAGCGCACCAGTGGCCGCGCTAGAAAGCTACACTTATGACCTGCTTGTTCAGTCCCCTCTGTAGGGAATTCCCATCGTCCTATGGGATTGATATTTATTTCAATTAACACTCCACTAGTAGTCTAGTGGTCTAGTAGTAGTAGTAGTAGTAGTCTAGTAGTTTGCTCATTGCCTATTTCCATATGATACGTCTATCCTTTTCCGTTATGTACAGCGTCTGTGCTCCGTAGAAACGTGATGACTTTAGCTCGGTGTAAACTTCTTTCGGGTTACCTGAAGCACAGTGGGGTATCCCATCGGTACATGTGGGCTTACGATAGCTTATTGTTTCCAAATTTCCTCCACTTCTATAAACTAGGCAGTCATTTGAACGGCACCGTACCAATGCACGATTCTAAGTCCCGTCAATGAAGTTTGGGTGGTTTAGCAAGTACTCTTTCCTATCCCTTTTTTATCACAAAGGTGTCGTCTACGTAGCGCTACCAAACCTTCAGTGAGCTACCGGAGAATCCTAGCGCCTTCTTTGAAGCCCTCCATGTACAAGTTCGCCAGCACAGGGGATATTCCAGAACCCATGGCCAGACTTTGTTCCTGTATGTATAACTTGAACTGGAAAGCGAAAAAAGACATGCTAAGTCACAATGCCATACCCTACATCCCATTCAGTATCATTCTCGTTTAGGCAGCAACTTGCTAGCTCCAGTCCTTCTGCTTTGAGAACAATAGTAAAACGCGAGGTGACATAAAAGCTTACCATTAATACATGCGGCTTTATAGAGAGCTGTGCAATATTTCAGGCGAGCTCGTAGGAGTTCTTCATGAACCTACTCGTTCGTCTTGTCAGGGGCTGCCATATTCTAGCCAAATGTCTTGCAGAGAGCCTATACCGTCGACTATGGGATGTCTCGTTGGTAGGGTATAAAGCCTAAGAAGTAAAGTCGAGTTTGGGTGGACTATAACATGTAACTAACCCTAAAGTGTCAATCACGACTCAACCTCCAATTTCCGTGTTATTCTTATACATCATCGCCGTTACGATTTTATGTGACCGTACTGAATTCCGTTGCATTTTTTTCCAAATAATCCGATTTTTTCATTACCACCAGTGTTTTCCCTAATAAGCCTTTGTGATTACGATGCTATGGTTTACCTTTAAGGCGTTCAACGCGATACGCCCAACCGATCCCCGGCAAATATCTCAGAAACTATGACTTGTCGATCGGTTCCAAAAGTTCAAACCGCACTTGCTTGCAATCATCATCATCATACACGTTAGCTAGAGGTGGGGAACATCTCAGCTACTGTGCCGCAATACACAGAAAAAGGAGAAAAAAAGAATTCAACTGGGGCAAGCCGGCTGAGCTACCGGTAACGGATAGGCATCGTTCCGGTAAGCTACCAGCCGGCTACTATGCATCAAAAAAATATTACTATGCAAAAGTATATAAGGTTAAATAATGAGATCGTGGTTGGAGGGGGAGGCTAAGAGGGATGGAGTGGGACAAAGAAACTCACAGCACGAACGCCACTGAGGTCAGCTCCTTGTCATGTCAGCAGGTGTGTCCAACCAAACGTGTTCATTGTCTTTCGGACCCCAACCAGGGAGCCGAGACGCTCCAACCGAGGCCAGCTCAGAAGTGAGGGCCTTCATTCCTCTCGACCAAGTCATCGCTTGGCCACCCCTCCTCTTCTTCCATCCACACCCCCGGCGCGCAAACAACGCACGTCGCGGGAGTCGGTGGACGGGCATGCGTAACACGTGGCCGAGCCATCGGAGCCTGGTGCGTGAAATAACGGTGCTGAGCGGTTCAGCTCCTTTTCCTGTGCTATAAACAAGGCGTCGGACAGGCTCGTTGCTCACGCGGTGTTCCCACCAGATGTGAGCTAAATTACGAAGGCACCGGTGGTCGAACGTAACTAGCCTCTTCAGGTCCGCTGCTTTAAGCGGCCGGTTTCACAACCGTACAGTAGGGTCGAACGTACTGCTGCATTGTACACTCCACCATTCGGGGCAAGAATGATTTCGCGCCGGCGTCATAAGTGGCGAAGGTTAGCAAAAGCGTCCCGAGCTTTTGCTATATGGTTCGCGATCTCATCCTTAATCCCACGGGCGCTGATACAACTTCGCAGGTAGTTGAATTTTTGAACGACTTTTAGCTGATCCCCACCAAGGGTCAGTGTAGGAGGCGGTCCAGACCGCTTGCAACAGTAAACAATAAATGATGATCCCTACAGATAAGCACAACACAAACGCGTAGTTGGCGTTCAAAGTAATTCATAATAGAACAATGAGGTACGTGCGCCGGTGATTTAAAAATAATCATACTCGAGTGGTCAGCGTGTGTGGATTATTGACACTCCACTAGAGTGCTGGACTCCAGTTGCAGATTTAAGACTGTTTCATGCGTAAGCAAGCGAGAATAAGATAGACACTGTTCGAAAGTGAAATTAAGCAACAAGTAACCGAGAGGAGTGTGGAGGAAGCATACAATAGACGATCCACTAAGTCTGGCAAGGAGGATATACCTTAGTGGGTTACATCCAAGTGGCATATGTCTCCTGCATCGTTACAGCTGGCTGGAGCGGGATTGACTGACGGTGAGCAGTAGAACGGGTTCCAGCTACAAACTACTACCAACTACCGCATAACCCTACGTGGCTTGACCGTGCTTGATTCGAATATTGACCAGGAAACTAATCGCCAAATGCTCCCACTGTTGGTCAAAAACACCACCAGCCACTTCGGAAAGTGAGAAACCGCATGGTCTCGCTGAATGGCACTCTCTGAGAACTGTTATAACCTCGGAGTTATATCAAGTAGGTTCACATACTGTGAGTGATAAACGTGGTGACAGAAAATTGACCATTTACAAAACAACCATGAATCTGCTGTGCGTGAGTCATGTTGATCAGATTTACGGCATACGTGGGGTTTACGTTTGTGCCCTAGATAGTGCGATGCAGTACCCATGACTTCGTCGGTGCGTGCAGGCCTAGTAACAGGCAAATCCGGAATCAAATGCCGCTAATCCTATGAGCGAAAATATGGTCAGGGAAATAGGGACCAAACGATGCTTCTAAAACCAAGTACAGGAACAAGGAATTCAGATTGGATTTCAGCGGTAGGAAAAGGTGGTGGCTGATGGAAGTATGAACATATCGGTGAGTTATTGGGACCGAAAATGCTGTGGAGGACACCTCAGGTGCTCACCTGTACCAACTTTCCGTCTTCATGATTGACGGCAAGGCGGTGCACGTATGAATCATCAGCGTAATCCCACACTAGGTTCTTCCCAAGCTCTAGTGCAAACGTGTGTCCAGTCTCCTCAAAATGACGCTGGGCATGTTTCCGACCATATCGTCCGCAGCCAATGCGTCCACAGATAAGACAGATCCACAGGTTTTCGCGTATGCAACAATCAGCGCACTGACTATCATCACGCAACTCGGGAGATTGGACATAACGACACACGGGGCAACTAGGGTAGCAAAATTTGTGGTCAGCGTGCAAACCAAAGGACTTACGTGGAATCCTCCACTCGAGCAATACACGCATCATGAAATGTATGGTTGCAAAGGATTGTAGTCAAAATGCCTTGAACAGGTTCATCCTGGACGAAAAAACAGTAAAATACAACAGAACCATACAGAAAAGATTTATCAGAAATAATAAATTAACAAGATCATAGTGTATATACACAAACAAACCATAAATCTGTCAAACTAATCCATTCTGTAGCCAGCGGGCACAATGAAGTTCGAACAAGTTTCGTTTGGCTACTCTGATCCAGAAACCGAGGTGCGGTGGAATACACTATCATGTTGTATGGTCACGAGCATAGATACGAACGCTGAACAGAAGGAAAAATAATTGAAATGAAAACGTACCCAAAATGGCAGAAGCGGCGAAGTAAATGAAATGTAGCTAGAAAGAATGAATGAAACTGCCGGAGAGTACTTAACCGTGACAATGAAGTAAAGAGTTTTCAACCAATGAGAACTGGTGCGAAGCAGCGAGTAGAGGTTGCTCTGTGTAGCTGCATCATTCGTCGTTTTCGGACATGAACTTTTTATTTCTCGTTTCGCTCTTTGTACTTTGCCTCTGCAAATTGTTTGTCTAGTAGCATCTTGAATTTAGCCACTGTGTTCGCTTCTACTATATGCTGAGGCAGGTCGTTCCAGACATTCACCACTCTTCGTTCGAAACAGAGTTGATGGGCGACCCGCTTCAAATCCGGGACGATAAGTTTATACCGGTGTCCTCGCGTGCAGCTTAGTGTGCGCAGATGAAGTAGTTGTCTCAACATGGGGTAATCACCCAGATGTAATATCCGGTGCGTCATGATGAGGTCAACCCTCAGCCGACGATAAGATAGGGTGTATAACCCTAGTTTCTTACATCGGTCTTCGTATGGAATACCTCGTAAGTTAGGAATCAGCCTGGTGGCTACATGCTGCACCCGCTCAAGCTTTTCTACTTCGCCCCGGGTGATGGGACAGTATGCGGGAGTGCCGTACTCTAGCATTGGTCGTATTATCGAGACGAAGAGGCGAGTGGCAATCTCTTCGGACCAAGTGCTAAAGCTGCGCCTGAGAGCCCAAAGCATACGAAGGCTGTTTTGGTACAGCCTATTCGTGTTGTTAATGGACTTTAGGTCGCAGCGTGAGAGTACACCGAGGTCTCGCACGAAAGGAGTGGGATGCAACGGTTGTCCAGCCACTGTGTACGTTCGGCCGTGATCACACTTACCCAACCTCATGAATTGCGACTTGGCAGGGTTGATCGGAAGGTTAACCTCTGCAGACCATGTTGAGAGGCTGTCGAGATCCTGCTGAAGTAAATCGCAATCATTGAGTGTGCGGATTACCCTCCACACTTTCAAGTCATCTGCGAACAAAGCACAATGTGATTGTAGTAGCTGAGGCACATCGTTTATATGGATTAGAAACAATATCGGGCCCAGTACAGTGCCTTGGGGCACGCCGCTGCTCGATGGATACCAGTCTGTTAGATGGTTGTCCACCTGGACTCTCCACTTTCGATCCACAAGGAAATTGCTGATCCATTTGTGCAACGAACCACCAACACCGCACATCCTCAGTCTGTCAAGGAGCACTGCATGGTTAACCTTGTCAAAAGCCTTACTGAAGTCAATGTAAATGACGTCAACCGATTGGCCTTTGTTCAGCGCTTGTAACCATTCGTGCCTCGTCAACAGTAGGTTGGTGATGCACGAACGACCTTTCAGGAAACCATGCTGTGCGGAGGTTAACAGGTTTTTCGACTCGAGAAGTTGCAGAAGGCTCTTCTTCACGATCTTCTCGAGCGTCTTTGCCAAAACTGCCGTCAGGCAGATCGGCCGGTAGTTATCCACTTTGCTTGGGTTACCACCTTTCGGGATAGGCTTAACGACTGAGCATTTCCAGTCGTCCGGTAGTAGACCAGTGGATAGTGACCTGTTAAACAGTTCAGTTACAGAAGGTGCAATTATGGTCGATAATGACTTGAGGATTAGTGGGTGTATACCATCTGGCCCAGCAGGTTTCGTCCCGTCAAGATTTGCTAGAATCTTGCGTACATCCTCAATATTGCAGTCCAGGCTGTTAAGTTCGGCTGGAGCGGTGCTCGTCGAACTCATTACAGACAGCTGGTCACTTGTGAATACGGAGGCGAAGTGCGTTGCCAATGCTGACGCACGATCAGTACTCGAGGTTAGAGGCTGTTCTTCTGAGCCTTCTAACACTGGGATACTAGCTATAGGTCTTAGGCGCCGCTTCACATATGCGAAGATCCTCTTGGGAGCAGTTTTTGCGGCAGTTGCAAGCACCTCTTCGAAGCTTCTGCGTTTTCTTGTTTTCGCGTTGTTGCAGCGATTTCGTTGTACCTTGTACGCATTGTAGTCCTCATCAGAGCGGAACATCTTTCACCTCCAGTGACAAAAAATAAGGGGACTAATGAGGCTTGGTTTCTTAGAAAGTAGCAATATAATTCATTGCAGTATAATCCACTGGATATCATGGGGCTTTCTCCGTCGTCGTGAGCAACAGCGGTACGCTGGTACTCTGCACCGACGTCTTGTCAATATAAAACAGAAAAATAACCCAGTGACTATAGGAAAAAGAGGGACATAATGAAAAATACAAGCGGTCAAAGTAAGCATACTGGATCAGAGTGCTGAAACTGACGCAAAAGTTGACACTTCAAGGCCAAACGAGTGATGCGAAAAAGTGAGTAACACAAAGAGGTGGAATTAGTCATCCCCGCAGTGTTTGCTGGACCGAATTCGTACACAAAGGCATCGCTATCGGGAACTAAGACAAGCGACGTTCTTGAATTGGTTTCGGTAAAGCAACAATTCGAGGGTAGAGCGTAACACAACGAGGCGTCGTCAACCCATAGACTGAAAGATCATGCTCAAAGCAATCAGTCGGTTAGCGCCCCATTGGGTACCTGAGTAGTCTCAGCAGTCCGATTCGTTCATACACATCGGACACGTTCGTCGAATGAACATTTGTAGTGGTTACACAGCCCCAAACTCCAAGCTGTCATGTAAAAATAAAGTGGCATCCGTCCAAAAATAACCCTTGTGATTTGCACTGCTAATATTCCTAAGTAACCTTATTCCATAGACAACTCAGCATCGCACGGCCATGAGATGACTATAAACGCCGGCTGTGTGCGCGGTTTTATGATAATCCGAGTCAAAAACAGAGTGGCTAAATTAAACTAAGCCTGAGAAGAGAATTGGACTGACGGCACTAACCTACTGCTGATGGAATTCATTTCCGGGGACCAAATAATTGGTAGTCCGTGTCTGACCAGATCACCACCCTGGACGGGATAAACAGAACGAGGCACTCTCAGTAGATGATGAGAGGGCATACGGGCCACGCGGCTGAACTAACGTCACTTGATCAGTCATACATGTTAATCCAGAGAATTACTTTAGTCGCGGATGCCTACTCCTCCTCCGCACAGCTCGTTGTTTCGGCCAGGATGGTGTCAGCTGACATGAGCAGTGCACTGTACGCCAACGCGTTTTGGAATGGAAATAATCGCAAATATGGATTCTCTGTATCTTCGCAACCTCAGACGATTGCACATAATTGCCAGTTTTCGTTAACGGCAACAAAAAAATATATGTAATGCATGCATCTGCCGAACTTCGCTGTCACACTGTACTTTTCAAGCTACTAACACTAATTGTGTTGTTTCTCGAAAGATGTGTTGCTACTGATTACGTCAAACTGCTTCATTATATTATCAATCTGAGGTGCAAGATTGCTAGCAAGCATGTGGGAATTGACTCTCGGATTGTATTCGCTTACGTCGCTACTAAGGAAATCTGTTACTAAAAATCAACTAAAGCTTCCTACAGCTAACCAAAGATGCCTATTTCTTCAAGTCTTAACCACATCCTGCATCGGCCGCCGCGCAGCTTCATCATCATCATCAACAGCAGTACATCAGCCATTTGAACTGATGCTTCGCTGCCATACAACCATGAGGACCTATGAAATAGAAAATAAGAAGAGGGAGAGAAGCGGGACTTACCTAAAAACCTTAATGCTCTAAGCAAACACTCAGGGTCAAGACGCCTATACCTTGTATTAACAACATACCGTCACAAACAGCTGGCTATCGTGCAAAGATAAGGCGGCATCGGCGAGACAGCTTCCTTGCAGCTTTCACTGCCATGCTTAATAATCAGCCATTACCCCTCAGATAACTCAGCACCAAACACACCTTAAACAGGCAATCCGAATAGGAGACGGCACCAGACGCGCCACTGGTGTCGGTTGCGAGCCATGTCCTGTAAAGTCTCGAGCCAAGCACAAGGCGAGTCACGTGGACTCCAACCTGGAAGGCGAGACGGACCAACGGCACCCAGTTTGGTTGTCATTGACTTCATTTCCCGCTGCCAAGTCAACTTCTGTCCACCTCGAGCCTTACGCCATCCTACACCTGGCAGACAAACAAGGCCCACCTAGGTAAGCGGTGACAAGGCATACGTAGCACATGCCCGAGCCAACGCAACTTATTCAGTGCTATCTGTTGTTTTAGGGAGCTAGCGTGATTATCACAACCTAGTACTCGCCTAAGCACATCATCGTTGCGGACACGCTCGTGCCATCCAACACAAGCAATGCTTCGCAGACAACGATGATCAAAGACTTGAAGGCGCCTCAGATCTTCAGACCGAAGAGGCCAAGTCTCACTACCATAGAGCAGAACGGCCCTCACTGTGGCCTTGTATACACGGCATTTCAGACGAAGGGAAACTCCCTTTTGTCGCCAAACATGTCGCAGGTTCAGGAAGGCAGCTCTGGCCTTTGCAATGCGTGAGCTCACGTCAGTTTCTATGCGCCCATCATTGCTGATGCAGCTGCCAAGATAAGTGAATTGATCAACCACCTCGAGTTCCTCGTTAGCAAGCGTCAAGGGGTCATAAAGTGGCTGGTGGTCCTGCAGCAACACTTTGCACTTTGAAGGTGCGAAGTGCATACCAAATAATGGGACCACTCTTGATAGGCTATTCAGGGTTGATTGTGCCCCAACAACATTGTCGAAAAGCAAGATGATATCGTCCGCATAATCTAGATCAACTAA